CTCTAGAGTTTTAGATTGTAGAAAGGCACACTCATGCATTGTTGGTGGAGCTGTAAACTGGTCCAATCATTTGGGCAAACAATTTGGAATTACATAAAGACAGTGACTAAAGTACTACCTTTTGACCCAGAGATTCCACCACTAGGAATATAGCCCAAAGAGGTCAATGATAAAAAGGTCACATATACACAAACTATTTATAGCAGCACTTTCTGCAATGGCAAAAAACAAAACAAACAAAAAAACCCATAACAAAGTAAATGCCTATGAAGTGGGGAATGTCTAAACAAACTGTGGTACATGAATGTAATGGAATATTGCTCTGTTGTAAGAAATAATGGATATGATAGATACAGAGAAGCCTGGAAGATTCATCTGGATTGATGCAAATTGAAGTAATCAGAATCAGGAAAACAGTATATAACCACATCAATGGAAAGCCCACGAAGCAATGGAGACTGAATGTGTCAAAATTATAAGAATCAAGTTTGTCCTCAAAGAAGAGATAAAAGAAGATAAAGCCCCTTCCCCTTCTTGGCAGAGGTGGGGGACTATGGGTGTGGAATACTGAATGTAACATGACTCTTCTCATATGTTGGTTAGTTTTTGTGAACTTTCCTCCCCCCTCCCCCTTTTTTATTCTTTGTTATATAGAATGACTCTCTGGGGAGAGAGATACATTAGGAAATATAATTTATGCAAAACCAAATATAATCAATACATGCTTTCCTTTGGAAAGACTGTGAATTGCAGGTGTCCTGTATTCTCTGGAATACAGGGAGTTCCCCATGCATATGAGATCACAGGTCCAGATCAACTTTCCACATATGTGTAGGGGCATCCCAGACTAAGGCTGTAAGCTCCTCAAGGACAGAGACTGGGTCTCACCTGTCTTTGTATGTCCTCTAGTGCCAGGGATGTGTTCAAAACATAATAATAGCTAACATTTGTATGGCGCTTACTATGTGTCAGGCACTATGCTAAGCACTTTATAATTATCTCATTTTCATCCTCACAACAACCCTGGGAGGTAAGGGCCATTACTATCCTTATTTTATAGATGAGGAAACTGAGGCAAACAAGAATTGACTTGCTCAAGGTCACGCAGCTAGGATGTATCTGAGGCCAGATCTGAACTCAGACCTTCCTGAGTCCAGGCCCAGTGCGCTATCCATTTTGCTAGCAAAAGCACTAACATGGAGTAGAGGTGTTCACAGGGCCTTCGATAGTATTTTTTAAAGACTCAGGATACAGAACATGCTTGTGCATGGTGCCTGCTTTGATCGGAAGTGTCATGCAATTTGTCAGATGTGCTCATTATGATACCATCAGGGCCTAATACTCATTGACAGCCAGTCCTTAATTAGGGTGGGGTGACTGGACCTTTGCTTCAGGGAGCCAAAATTTAGAGGGCACTGATAACCTTTATACCCTCCATCAGGCAAAAACTGATCTTAGCATCTAGTTAGCGAGGGTAATTAGTTAAGATAGGAAACTACCTGCTATTTCTCTCCTACAGAGGCACATCACCGTGATAGCCCAGGCCTGAGCCCACCCTGTTCTTTATCCCCCGAGTGGTGACCCCTTGGTGTCCTCCTGTCTGTCCCCCCTCAGAGGCCACATCACCGTGATCGCCCAGGCCCGAGCCCACCCTGCTCTCTATCCCTGGAGCAGTGACCCCTTGGTGTCCTCCTGTCTGTCCCCCCTCAGAGGCCACATCACCGTGATCGCCCAGGCCCGAGCCCACCCTGCTCTCTATCCCTGGAGCAGTGACCCCTTGGTGTCCTCCTGTCTGTCCCCCCTCAGAGGCCACATCACCGTGATCGCCCAGGCCCGAGCCCACCCTGCTCTCTATCCCTGGAGCAGTGACCCCTTGGTGTCCTCCTGTCTGTCCCCCCACAGAGGCCAAGGCCTTTTCTTTCTCCAACATCTCTAACTAGCTCCCCAAACTGAATTTGTCTTTCAAGTTGACTTGAGCGCACCTGGGCTGTTCAGCCAAGTGTGCCAGAATGGCCAGTTACAGCTCCATGGCAGCTCTAAATGGGGAAGGATTTTCTGGCAATCAGAGCTGTCCAAAAATGGAAGGGCTGTTTTGGGAGGCAGTGAGCTCCCTGTCACTGGATGTGCTGAGCAGTGGCAAGATGACCACTTGTCAAGGGCACTGGTGAGGGGCTTTCTGTGAAGGTCTAAGCTGGCTCAGATCAGGTGCACCAGATTCAAACAGAATCACACCCTTGCCCACAGCACATCAAGTTGCAACCCCATTCGGGGTTTTCGTGGCAGAGATACTGGAGGGGTTGGCCATTTCCTTCTCCAGCTCATTTTATAGATAAGGAAACTGAGGCCAACAGGGTTCAGTGACTTATCCAGGGTCACACAACTAGTAAGTGTCTGAGGGCAGATTTGAACTCAAGTCCTCTTAACCCCAGGCCCAGCTGGCGTAATCCACTGTACCACCTAGCTGTCCTGTATATTAACTAAAAAAACCAGCAAATTGTCTACGTTGTATTTATTTTTATTTATTTTGTTAGACAGTTTCCAATTACATTTTAATCTGGTTCTGGCTATATTGGTGAGTTTTACGGCCGGTTACCTGCCCATAAAGCTCATAGGTGGTATCTGAGTGCACAGAGCACCAGGCCTAGAGTCAGGGAGATCTGAATTCAAATCTAGCCTCCCACACATATTAGCTGTGTGACCATGGTCAAGTAACTTAACCTGTTTGCCTCAGTTTCCACAAATGTAAAATGGGGTTTGACAATAGCCCTTAACCCCCAGATTGCCGTTTTGAGGATCAGATGAGATGCCTGTTGTAGAGATATTAGCACAGGGCCTGGCACGTGGTAAGTGCTATTTAGTTTACTGTAATGTAAGCCATTATTATACACTGGGTGGATGGGCTCTATTGAGCATTCCTTTCACGTGTGAACTGTACTAAGCGGTTCTCGAGGGCCCCTCCAGCTCTCAAACTCTGTGACCCTGTGGCACTATGAACACATACAGCAATCAGGAATGATTGAAGAGTGCTGGATGTGGGGGTCAGGAAGACCCGAGTTCAAATCCTGCCTCGGACACTTACTAGTTGTGTGACCCTGGGCAAGTCACTTAACTTGCCTGCCTCAGTTTCCTCAACTGTAACACTGGGATAATCATAGCACCTACACTGCAGGGTTGTTGAGGATCAAATGAAATCACTCATGTCAGTCAGTCAACTAGTATTTATTAAGTGTCTGTGTGCCCTTTTGTGCCAGGGGCTGTGCTAAGCACCGGAAATAGTAAAAGAAAAACAAAAAACTGGTCTTCAAGCTCACTGTCCAACAAGGAAATAGCTATCATTTATAGAACACTTTAAGGTTCGCAAAAAAAAATTCAAACACACACACACACACACACACACACACACACACACACACACACACACACACAACACACACACACACACACACACCTGATTTCATTTTATCCTCCTAACAACCTTGGGAGGCAGATGCTATTTTTATCCTCATTTTACAGATGAGGAAACTCAGGCAGATACAGGTTAAATGACTTTAATTTTGAACTTACATCTTCTTGACTCCAAAGTCCTACACTCTATGCACTCACTACTCTATCTAGCAGCTTATTTTTTTTCTGAAATTCTTTTTTTTTAAGTTTTACTAATTTATTTTGATTTATCAACAATCACTTCCACATGCTTTTGAGCTGAAAGTTTTTCTCCCCCTTCCTCTCCCCCACCCTCCCCAAGATGGCACACAATCTGATATAGGCTTTACATTTACATACCCATTAAACATATGTTCACATTAGTGAAGTTGTAAGTAAAAATTAAAACCAACAGGAGGAACCATCAGAAAGATGAAACAAAACTCAACAGAAGGTAAAAATAAGTGAGAGCGATTCGACTTCCATAGTTCTTTCTTTGGATGTGGACAGCATTTCCATCCCGAGGCCTCTGGAGATGTCTTAGATCCTCGTAATGCTGAGAAGGGTTCAGTTTAACAATATTAGTCATCGCATAACATGGCTGTTATTGTATACAAAGTCCTCTTGGCTCTGCTCACTTCACTCAGCATCAGACCATACAAGTCTTTCCAGGTTTTTCTGAAGTCACCCTGTTCATCATTTCTTACAGCACAATAGTATTCCATTACCTTCATACACCACAACTTGCTCAGCCATTCCCCAATTAAGGGGCATCCTCTCAATTTCCAATTCTTTGCCACCACAAAAAGAGTCTAGCAGCTTATTTTGTAACTCAATTTGCAAACCTTAAAGCATTAAATGAATGCCAGCTATTCTAATTATCATTACAGCAAATCTTGGTCTATGAATGGGATGAACATTATTGTACTGTGAGAAAGGATGAAGGGCATGGTTTCGGAGAGCCTTGGAAAGACTTGAATGAACTGATGCAAAGTGGAGTGAGCAGGGTCAGCAGCTTATACGGTATCATTATAAAGATCTTAAGAATACTAATTAACCAACCAATGATCAACCATAATTCCAGAACAGCAGTGAGGAAATGCGCTAACCACCTCCTGACAGAAAGGTCAGGGATTCAGGATCCAGAACAGGGCATTTCTTTTAATCGACTGTATATTTGTCATAAGGGTATTTTTTTCAAATGGTGGGAGGAGGAAGGATGAAGATAAAGTAAATTTTCATTAATTTGAAAAATAATTTAAAGTAATAATTTAGTGACCAAATGTGAAAGACTTAGCTACTCTGATAAAGGCAATGATCTAAGACAATTTCAAAGAATTTGTGATGAAAAATGGCATCTACCTTTAGAGAAAGAACTGATGAACTCTGAGTAGAAATTGAAGCATAATTTTTTTAACTGTTGTTATTTTTCTTGCCCTTTTTTTTTGGGGGGGCAACATGGCTAATATGGAAACGTCTTGCATGACCTCACATGTCCAATAGAAATCAAATTGCTTGCCTTCTCAGGGAGATGGGAGGCACAGGCAGGAGGGAGAGAATTTTGATCTCAAAATTTTAAAAAATGATTATTAATTTTTTACACATAATTGGGAAATATTTAACAAAATCAATAAAAAGAAAAAAATAACCCAGGTGAGAGGTCAGGAGGGACTGTGTGAGTGGAGAGGAGGGTGTATATGAGAGGTGGAGGGTGAGACAACAGGACTGGACCCCCAGGCTGCATGAATGGATGACCTTGGGTTGAACATCCACGAATAACCCAGCAAGCACCATTAACCATTAACATTAGTCTAACAGATGCAACTATTTTTCCTCTTTTCTGAGTTTACTGGGGAAAAGCTGTCATCTTACATATAAAACCTTGTGACACCCACATGTCATAAAGGTAATTTAATTTTCCTGCTTGTATTTTCCTAGCTGAAGAAGTTCTGGAGTCAGAGAAAGTGGGTTCAAATCCTGCCTTTAATATTTACTAACTGTGTGACCTTGGGCAAGTCATTAAACCTCCGCAGCCTCAGCTTTCTTATCTGTAAAATGAGAGGGTTAGACTTGAAGATCTCCAAGGTTCCCTTCCTCTAAATACTGGATCCTGTGAACTCCTGGGGGGGTCAAGGACCTTCCTTTCCTGATGTGGTCTGACCAGGGTAGAAGACAGTGGGACTATTGCTGCCCTCCACTCTCTGGACAGCCCAGCTTTATGTCCTTACCTCCACCTTTGCTGACCACCTCCCCCTAGCCTGCCTGACTCACACTAAAGCATGTCTAGCTGCTCCTACCTTTGTCCACACAATCAATCCATCCACAAGCATTTATTGAGCACCAACTATGTGTCAGGCACTGTACTAGGCACTAGGGACACAAAGAAACTGCCCCTGCTCTCAAAAAGCTTACATTCTATCATGGAAGACAACCTATACCTGTACAGACCAACCCAGCCCCCTTGGGACAGAGCCATGCCCCTAGGGCAGGTGTCCTGCCTCCATATCTTTGACATGAAGGCAAGGAGCCCTGAAAGAAGACGACAGAGCCTTCAGCTAATGACAGATGATGTAAAGAGAGAAGAGCCCAGGCTATAATGGACACCAAAGACCTGAGTCCAGACGCTGGCTCTGCTGTTCAATGCCTTTATGACCCGGGGCCACCATCAGCTGATTGGTAAAGTGAGGGGCTTGGACCAAGGCTTTCTAAGACCCCTTCTAAATCCCAAGACCTATGACCACTCGCTCACAGGAGAAACCTCCCAGGGCTTGAGTCCTTTCCTAAGTGAACCCACTAGACTTTCCCCCATCCCTGGGAGATCTGAAGACATGCTGGCCCGTGGTAATGCCATGGAATGAGCAGTTTTTGGCTACTCCCTCCTCCCTACCCCATGCCTCCTACAACGCTGAGGCTCCCTCCATGCCCCCATCAATGCCCTATGCCCAGAAACAAGCGGGGGAAGGCACAGAGAAGCTGATCATTTGGCCTGAAACCAGGACACATCATTTTAGCCATCAGAGCTGTCCGAGCCTGGAATGGGCCACCTCGCAAGGTAGTAAGGTCTCTGTCACTAGAAGTATTACACAGCAGGATGATGACCACTTGTCAGGGGCGTTGTTGATTCCCGTTCAGGTAGCAGCAGTTAGACAAGGTGGCCCCTGGTATCCCCCCTCAGCCCTGAGATCCTGTGATTCTGAGCTTGGCCCTGAAGGCAGAATTAAAGGCAATGGGCAGAGACCACGCCGCATGCGGAGACTATGCAAGGACCCCCAGAAGCTAGCCTGGAGATGAGAAGGCACAGAAGAGCTGTCTTTAAGGACCTCAAGGAGAAAGGGTAGAATTTGGACCAATGAGTGGACAGACTGGGGCAGACTTCAGGTCGGTGTCAGGAAGAATCTTCTACAACCTGGAGCTGACCTGCTATGAATTGGACTGCCTTGGGAGGTAATGAGTTCCCCATCACTATAGGTCTGCAAGTGGAAGCTGGGTCACCCCTCTTCAGGGGTGTTATGGAGGATGTGAACTCCAGTCCTCTGCCTCTGGCTCCAGTGTTCTTTCCACAGTCATAGGGTTTGTCTCCCCTAATGCCACCTTGACCCAAAGTCCTAACCTCTCTGGGTCACCCTTTCCTCAGCCATAACGAGGGGGTCGGAGGGAGGGGCTGGGACGTCCTCTCTCTAGCTTCTCTGCTCCTCCCATGGCCAGCCGGGGCTAAAACAGGAAGTAGGACTCCTCGGTCAGCCCAGCCCCCTGCAAACACAAGGCCATGTCTTGAACGAACTCGGATGGGCCACACACCAGGGCGAAGGGCTTCTTCCGGCAGGAGTCGACCAGCTCCTGGACCAGGGCCTGGCTGAGACGGCCCAAGTGGGTCTTTTCTTGGTAACTCCAGGGCAGTTTGTCCAGGGAAGCTTCCTGCAAAAGCCACAGGGGACCTGGTGAGATGAATGAGTGGCTGGTGTCCCCTCCCCTGGTCACCGAGCAGAGTCATAGACTTAGCTTTGAAAGGGCCTAGCTCAATCCCCTCATTTTACAAATGGGGAAAACAGAGGCGCAGGGAGGGGATTTTGAGCTGGAGGACCGGCTAGTCCAAACCCTCATTAGACAAAGGAGGCCAGGCCGCAGGGGCCACTTCTCAATGCTGCAGCCTGCTCCGCTCAGGCCTTCCATCGCTTCCCACCTGTGAGAGGACAAGCTTCTCATTCTGGCATTCAAGGCTCTCTCCTCCCTCCTAGCACCCCAGGCCTCTAGCAGTCTCTTAAGTTCTAGCCAAAGCTCTCCCCATGGCTGCTCCTCATGCCCTACCCCACCCCCAGCAGCTTCAGTTACTGCGGCCAGACATGAACCAGCTGACCAGCTTTCCAGTAATGAGCCTCTGGACGTACCAGGCAGGTTCTCAGACAACAGGCAGCCTGTCCCTGCAGCCCTACCCAAAGGCCTTCCCCACTGGCAGCCTGGGATGGGGAAAGCACTGGCTCCGGAGTAAACTTAAATCTCCCCTCTAATGTTTGTTAGCTGCATGACCCTGGCCGAGTCACTTAACTTCTCAGGGCTTAAGCTCCCCTTCTCTAAAACCAGATTGGAATAGGCAGCCTCTGGGCTCCTTTGCATCTGTGAAGCTAGGGTCTACACTCTTCCTCTCAGTTTCCCTATCTCTAATATGGGATAGCTGGGGCCCAGAAGGCCCTTCTGGTTCCAGACCGAGCTGCTGGACAGGTTCTGTGGTCACAAAGCTGCTGAGGGGGCGGGGCTAGGGCAAGCAGGCCTAGGCCTTTTGCTGCCCAGTTCAGTTATAACACACGGCTCTATCAGCTGGAACAGCACACAGATCAGTCAGAGCAGGAGGCAGAGTGGCTAAAGGGCTGGACCCGGGGTTAGGAAGGTCTGAGCTCAAATCCTGCTTCGGGCACTTACTAGCTGTGTGACCCTGGGTAAGTCATTTAACTTCTGTTTGCCTCAGTTTCCTCATCTGTAAAATGGGCATAATAACAGCACGGTCCTTTCAGGGTTGTTATGGGGATCAAATGAGATTCGATATCTGTACAGTGCCTAGCACTTAGCAGGCTCTTAACACATGCTTGTTTTTTCCTTTCCTTCATTCATCTCCCAGGGCCTTGGTTTCCTCATCTATAAAATGGGCTTTAAGTCTTTCAAGGTTTGTAAAATACTTTACATATGTTATCTCATTTGATCCTCGTGACAACCCTGGGAGGGAGGTGCTTTTATGATCCCCATTTTGTGGATAAGGAAATTGAGGTTGAGAGAGGGTAAGAGACTTGTCCAGGGTCACATGGCTAGTCAGCATCTGAGCCAGGATTTGAACTTGTGTTCCAGTAAATCATCCATTATACCCCCTGGCTCAGCTATCGAATGAAGAAACCTGACTAAACTAATCCCAAGGTCCCATTTCAGGTCTAAATCTGCAGCCCCAGGGGCACCACAGGAAGAATTTCCAGCCTCAGTTTCCCTCTCAGAGAGATCATAGATTTGGGGCTGGAATGGACCCTGGGGGTCATTTAGTCCAATCCCCTCATTTTACAGAGAAGGAGACTGATAAGGGAAAGGAAGTGACTCACCCAAGGTCACCCAGGCTATAAGGGGCAGAGTTCGGATTTTGAACACAGGTCCCATGACTTTAGAACCAGGTCCCTTTTAGCGAAGGCAGAGGTTGGACAGTCTTTTCAGACAGATCCTGATGGCTGAGAGTGAGCGGCTTGGCCTGGGGGTGATCTTCCATCTGCTCATCGTCCACTGGTGGGGATCCCTCCTCCCCCTTCCTCCCTCTGGCCTCACCTGACTGAGTACAAAGAAGGTCCGAACGTTCCAATAGCGAGCCTGGTCCTGGAGGAGGGGCTTCAGGTAGATGCTCTCGAAGGTCTTGAAGCAGCTGACCAAGGTGAGGAACGTCTCATCCTCCTCATTGTCTGTGATCTCCTTCAGGATGGGCAGCATGGGTGCCAGGCCAGTGCCCGCGGCCAGCATGAGGAGCTCACCGTACTGGGGGGGGGAAGGGAGAAAGAGAAGAAAGAGGGGGAAAGATAGAGAGATAAGGGAGAGGAAAAAAGGAGAAAGAGAGACACAGAGAGAAGGATGGAGAGAAGGGAGACAGAGAAGAGAGACAGACAGACAAAAAGTGAGGAGAGAGGGAAGGGAGAGCAAGAGGAGAGAGAAAAGGAGAGAGACAGAAAGGAGAGAGAAACAGAGAGAAAGAAAGAGAGGAGAGAAGGTGAGAGAGAGAGAGACAGAGAGCATGATAGAGAGAAAAGAGGCAGAGAAGAGAAAGAGAGAAGAGAGAGACAGAGAGATGGAGAGAAGAGAGGAGAGAGAGACAGATAAAAAGTGAGGAGAGAGGGAAAGGAGAACAAGAAGAGAGAGAAAAGGAGAGAGACAGAGAGAAAGAGAGGAGACAGAGAGACAGAGAAACAGACAGAGAAGCAGAGAGAGAAACAGAGACAGAGAGCATGATAGAGAGAAAAGAGGCAGAGAAGAGAGAGAAGAGAGAGACAGAGAGATGGAGAGAGAAGAGGGGGAGAGAGAGAGAGAGAGAGAGAGAGAGAGAGAGAGAGAGAGAGAGAGAGAGAGAGAGAGAGAGGAGAGAGAGAAAAACAGAGAAAGAGGAGAGAGGGAGAGAGACAGAGAAACAGAGACAGAGAGCATGATAGAGAAAAAAGAGGCAGAGAAGACAGAAAGAAGAGAGAGACAGAGATGGAGAGAGAACAGGAGAGGGAGAGAGAGAGAGAGAGAGAGAGAGAGAGAGAGAGAGAGAGAGAGAGAGAGAGAGAGAGAGAAGGGGGAGACAGAGATGAGAGTGAGAAAAAGAAGGGAAAAAGAGAGGAGAAAGGGAGAGACAGAGAGAGAAACAGAGAGAAGAGAGGGAGAGGGTGGAGAAAGAGAGAGAAAGAGAGAGAGAGAGAGAGAGAGAGAGAGAGAGAGAGAGAGAGAGAGAGAGAGAGAGAGAGAGAGAGAGAGAGAACCAAATACCTTAGCAGCAAACGCAGGCCACACCGGCCTCTCAGCTGCCACCCCGCCCCCAGTTCCCTTCCTGTCCCTTGGTACAGGACAAAGTCCTGACTTGGGATTCATATCCCTGACTCAACCCCTGCCTATGACATTCACTGCTGTGACTTGGGGCAAGCCATCTCACCTGTCTGGGGGCCTCACTTTCCCCACCTGTAAAATGATGTGTCTACACCGTGCCAGACATTGTGCTTGGCCATGGGGACACCGAGACAAAACTGAAACGGTTCCCGGCCTCAAGAGGCTTCCATTCTAACAAGGGAGAGACAGCACATACACCTAAGAATGTACAAGTTTCTGGGGGAGAGACAAGAAAGGCTTCTTGGAGGAGGTGGTCATTAAGCTGATCTTTGAAGGCAGGTAGGGACTGTAAGGGGCAGAAGTGAAGACGGAGAGCATTGCAGGCATTGGGGCCAGCCTGTGCAAGAGCAGAGATGGGAAAGGGAATACGCCATAGAGGAACAGCAAAGGGTCGGCTTGGCTGTGACAGAGTGACTGAAGGGGAATAATGTGCCATAAACCTGGATGGCAAGGTTGGGGCCAGGCTGGGAAGGGCTTTCAAAGATAAACAAAGGAGTCTGGATTCGACCCTGGAGGGATTCAGGGAAGCTACTCAGATCTGTGCTTTGAGAAGATCCTTTTAAGGAAAAGAACCGACTTGTACAAAAATATTCACAGCAGCTCTTTCTGTGGTGGCAAAGAATCAGAAATTGAGGGGATGCCATCAACTGGGGCTGAACAAGTCATGGTATTTGACTGTAATGGAACACTATTGTGCTATAAGAAATGACGAGCAGGCTGATTTCAGACAAACCTGGACATACACAAACTGATGCAAAGTAAAGTGAGCAGAACCAGGAGAACATTGTACACGGTAACAGTGACATTGTATGACGATCAATTGCAAATGACTCACTGGTCCTCAGCGATACAACAATTTGAGACAATTCCAAAGGACGCCCGCCTCCAGGGAAAGAACTGATGGCGTCTGAATGCAGATCGAAGCAGACTATTTTTCCATTTTGGGGGGAGTGTTTTTGGTCTTTTCTTTCACTACATGACTAATATGGAAATATGTTTTGCATGATTGCACATGGATAATCTACATTAAATTGCTTACCAGCTCACATCTAGGGGCAGGGGTGGGAGAGAATTTGGAACTCAAATTTTTTTTTAAATGGATGTTAAAAATGTCTTTTTATGTGATTGGGAAAAAATGAAATATTATTAAAAATCCTTTTAGCAGCTGTTTGTAGGAAGGCATGTGTAGATGGAAGGTGATGGTGTTTACAAGGTGTTTTATAAACCATAAGCACGCTACAGATGGCAGCTTCCCGACCACTTCCATCCCCTCTGCTAGACTCCCAGAACAAAGCTAGTCTGAGCCTTGAAACCTTGTGTTTCATCGCAAAATCTGAGCACTAGAAGGTACCTTGGGGGGCATCTGGTCAATACCCCGCTCACAGTAGGAATTCCCTACAGGGAAGCCTCAACAAGTAGTCAACCAGGGCAGCGAGGTGGTGCAGTGGATAGAGTACCTGCCCTGGAGTCAGGAGGACTTGAGTTCAAATGTGGTCTTAGACCAGATACTTGACACTTACTAGCTGTGTGACCCTGGGCAAGTCACTTAACCCCAGTTGCCTTGCCAAAAAACGCCAAACCCCAAAAAGCCAGTGGTCAACCAGACTTTGCTCAGATCTCCAGGGATGGCGAGCTCACTACCTTCCAAAGCAGCCCACTAGCTCTGGTTGTTAGACATTTTTCCTTCTGCCAAATGGAAATTGGCTTCCCTGCGCTTCCTACCTCTTGTTCTGAGCTCTATCCTCCTGGGCTAAGCATGATGAGCCCACTCCTTCCCCATGCTCTGCCTGTCTTTGTGGAAAGCCTGCTCCCCTTCTCTTCCCACCTTCCTACTGAAAAAAAAAAAATTCTAGCAGATGGGAGCTGCAAGAGCCCTCAGAGGACCAATTCCAACCTGTAGCCTTGGTGGCAAGTGGCCATTAATACTCTACCCATTTCGCAGGTGCCTAATTATTTGCTTGCTGCCTCCCCGTTAGAATGTGAGCTCCTTGAGAACAGGCACTGTGTTTTTGCCTTGCTTTAGCACACAGTAGGCACCTAATGAATGCTTGTTGACTGATTCAAGACCTTCAAATCTTAAAGGGACCTCTTGTATTGCTTTATATCTGTCCTGTCCCTGGCCCTGCTGCCAGAATCAATTTCTTAATGCCTTGCTAAGACCATGCCTTCCCTCACCCCACTGGAGCCATTCTGACTACGGCATTTGAAGCCTTCCATCACCTGGGTCCAACCTACACAGCCAGCCTTCTCCCAGACTGCCTGCCCAAGAGGTCTGGGACACACAAACAGGTAAAAAACTCCTCCTCTAGACCCTTGGAAAGGTTTGCACAAGAGGTAGTGTGGTATAGTGGTCAAAGAGCTGGCTTTGCAATGAAAGAACCTGGGTTCAAATCCTAGACATGCTACTTCTACATGTGTGACCTTGGGCAAGTCTCTTAGCCTCTCTGGGCCCAGGTGTAAAATGAGGTTGTTGGACCAGATAAGCCCCCAGGTCTCTTCCAGCTCTATACAGATGATTTCTGATCCCTGGGCTCCCTAAAAAGAAAGTGACAGACATTTTAATTTGTATCCACTCCATTGCCTGCCAGTCCTTCAGCCCCCAAGAATACAAGGGTCCTTCAGATTCAGGAACAGAAAGGACAAGATTAAAAGGATTTTTTGTTAAAGATAAACTTCAATTAAAATTATAATACAAATAAACACTAATTGCTTGTTATGAACATATTGAAACACCTCCACTCCCTAGGAGAAGCTTAAAAGCTACTTCTGTGGTGACTCCTTCTCATGTGGCTCAGGAAGAAATCTCAAGGGTCATGACACCAGCCCCCATCTTGTACTCACCTGGTTCGGTCTGTAGGGGAAGCCCCCAAAAGGTCCTCGCCAAAATGCCACGTCACCAACTTTCCAGGACTTGACATACTGGGACATGAGCCCTGTCTCATAGCACTGGAAAGGAAAGTCAAGGACATTAAGGAGAACACAAAAAGATTAAGGAGGTTGAAGTAGAGCCTGAAGAGGTAGACTCAACATGGAGAAGGTCGTTGGCAAGGCAAGACAAGGTAAACAAGAAAAGGCGTGTGGAACAAGTAGAAGGTAAAGCAAAGTGATAGAGTGATAGAGGGGGCAGCAAACTGATGAAAAAGCGAGAAAGCTGGGGCAAGTTGGCAGAAGAGGAGGTGGGTGTGGCAGTGGCGGTATTGTTGGGACTAAGGGGGGAAACTGAATAAAGGGGCTGCCAAGTTATTCAGAGATGAATGGCTTGTGCTGAATGTGTTTTTCTGCCGCAGCTAAGTAACTGTCGTCCATGCTCTGAGTATAGGGTGACTTCCTCCCTGGAGGAGGAGGTGAAAGGCTTAAGGAATGGCTCTTCATCCTCCACGTTGTCAGGAGGAATGAAGGCAGAATGAAAGAGAAGTGAGGCTTCTGTGAGTTAGGAGGAGAGGAGGGGAGATGTAAGCCCAGTCAGGATGACAGAGCAACAATGAGGGTTACCCAGGGGAGAGGAATGGAAGGCCAAAGGCACCCGTACAACCAAAGCTTTAAACCCAGATCTGTGGCTCTCCCTGAAAAGGAGGGATCTGGATACTCTGAGGAAGAAGTCATGTGGGCTCCCAAGAATGATTCAGCAGAACCACAGACACTCCCAGGTAAGTATCCACAAAAGGCTCAAAGGCAGAGGGCTGGATAATATCTATCATTTACATAGCGCTTTAAGATTCAAAGGATTTTACCAGATAATAGCACTAGCGAGGTCTGTGATCTTCCTGGGGCACGTCTCCTAGAAATAACAGAGAACCTCTCAAGACTTATCAAAACTGATGACAGCTCCCAACTTCTGGTAATTCAGCACAAATGATACCCCTTCAGAAGGAGCCTGAAACATATCATCAACAATTATGAAGTCTTGGGCAAAAAACTGAAGCACGGAAGGGGACAGGCTATGTTCCTCACTGATGGTGCTCAACAGAGCCAAGGGATGCAGAAGAGAAAAATGAATCAAGGGAAGTGAAGAGCAAGTGTCTAGCCAGAGACAGAATGCACCCAACAAAAGTGGGCAAGTCGAATCAAAAGGACTTGAAACTATAAAGGATGAAGGAGGGAGGAGACTGTATGTTTATCCCCCAAGTGAGATATTATGGAACAGGGGTTCTTAACCCTTTGGGTACCCGGGACCCCTCTGGCAGGCTGGTGATGGCTATGGGCCCCTTCTTAGAATAATGGCTTTTTCAAAATTCATGGTTGAAGAAAATACTAAATTTCAGTTAGATCAGTAGAAATAAAGATATAATTCTTTTTCATCCAAGTTCACAGACTCCCTGAAGTCTATTCACAGACGTTATGGAAGTCCACAGACTCACAGTTAAGAATCCCTGCTTTAGATAGCAGCTACAAAATAGGAAGAGGGGCATTACAATCCAAGACACTCAGGAGTTCACAGGCGACAAAAATCCAAGAAGGGAGCCAGCCGCCGAGCGGACGGCCTCAAGTGCTCACACACAAATGCTCAAAGTTGAGGCACCGAGCAGAGTGACCGCAAGGTCCTGACACGAGGAAACAAGTTTGACCTCCGGGGTGCCACTGGGACGCTGGGGCTGAAACCCACGACTGAACTGTGGCTCTGGCTGGGCAGAAGAGAAGAAGCACCATGTATCAAGGTGGTCTGCCCATGTGAGGAAATCCAGGAAGCACAGTGGAGAACCTGGAAGTGTTTGGGTAAAGGTCACTGGAGGAAGAAACTAAAGCACTGTTGTCCTTGGAATAAACTAAAGATTGCCAGAACAGAAATAAGAACCAGATGGAGAAGCAGAGAGGCATGTCACAGCAGCGATGGGGGACTTCAATTACCCCAACATCTGCTGGAGCTCTCTCTCTGGCAAAAGCAGAGTAGGCAATAACTCATTGACTCGCTTTACTGATAATTTCATCCTGTAAAAGCAAGAGGAAACAAAAAGGGGGATCTCTATTATGGACCTGATTCTCACTGGCCGGGAGGAACTGGCGGCTGGGATGGAAATGATGGGAACCTTGCGGAGGAAGTGAGCACTCCCTCCTGGAATTTGTGACAGAAAATGAGGGGAAATCTGGGCATAGCCTGACATGTATCCACTAAGTTTTGGGAAAGTAGATTTCAAAGAGTTAGCTGGAAGGATAGGAAGGATCTCATGGACTGAAATGCTTTAGGGGAAGTCAGCTTAGGAGAGAGAGAGATGCTCAGGAATGAAATTCTGAAGACACATAGTGAAACAACGCCAGCAACATCGGTCTGAACAGACAGATAGAGATACACAGGGAACTCAGAACTCACTAATCAACTTAATTTTTTAAAAGCGATATACAAAAGATGGAGACAAGACCAGGGAACAGAGGATGAAATGCAGGACTATGACACTGTCCTATGAGAGGAGTATCAGGAAGCTAAAGAACAAAGGGCTTTTTAAAAAAGCTACATTGGAAAGGATCAAAGAAGGGACAGAACCTTTGCTTGGAGCGGCCAGGATAAGGGCAACATGCAACAGAGAGAAAAGCTGGCTTAATTCTGATTTTGCTTGGTGGTTTTTTGCCAAGAGGAATGACTTTTGCACTGAAAATGGCGGAACAAAAATAATTATCAGAGAGTTGATACTCAAGAAAAGAATAGAGCTGACCTTGATAAGGTCAAGTCTCTGACCCAGGTGCTGAAAGAACCGACCATCACCGTCAGTGATACAGAAAAGATCATGAAAAATAGAAAAGGTACCACAAGGCTGGAGAATGGCCAGAGTTGTCCGGATTTGACAAAATGGAAGAGTAGAATCTGCAGGCATCGATTCCTGGGGCACGCTAGGATGCATTACTAAAGGGGTGGTTGCTGTTCAGTTGTATCTGGCTCTTCATGAGCCCGCTTGGGGTTTTCTTGGCAGAGATACTGGAAGGGCTTGCCATTTCCTTCTCCAGCTCATTTCACTGATGAGGAAACTGAGGCAGACAGGGTGAAGTGACTTGGCCAGGGTCACACAGTTAATAAGTGTTTGAGGCCAGGTTTGGACTAAGGAGATGAGTCAGGAAGACTCTATCCACCACACCACCTAGCTGCCCCAAAAAGAGATGGTTAGAGAATGTCTAGAAAGGAAATCAGTAATTACAAAAAGTCAGCCTTGGCTCCATCAGGAGCAGGTCATGCCAGACTCCCCTCCTTTGCTTTTTGGACAGGATTACTAAATTAGCAGAAGTGGGGATGCCATGGATAGAGTTCACTTAGGTTTTAGCAAAACTTTTGATGACGTGTCTCATCCCATTTTTGTGGGGAAGATGCAGAGATGTAGACTAGACAACAAGACAATTAAGTAGATTTAGAACTTCTGGGACGATCAGATTGTGCGCTGTCTTGGGGACGGTGGGGGAGAGGAAGGGAGAGAAAAATTTTCAACTCAAAAGCATATGGAAGTGATGGTTGATAAATCAAAATAAATTAATTTAAAAAAAAGAGAAAAAAAAAGAACTTCTGGGACGGCCAAACCGCTTGTTGTTAATGGAGTAGAAGCACTTCCCCCACCATCATTCTCACTTGAGGAAAATATAAAAGCCATTAGCATAGCATGTCAGTGAAATCCTGGGTCTAAACTGAACGAGAAACCTCATCAGCCTTTCTATCTATCTATCAGTCCAGAGGAAATAGCCCCCAACGTGGCCATCTTTTCGTTTTGTTCTTATCCCAGGCCTGATCGTTTTCTAACCGGAGAAGGAGCATAGGAAGGAATCCTTCCTGAAACTGATTAGGGTCAGACTAAAAGCTAGAACTTCTCTTGATTAATTCAATTAATAGAAGCATCTCTTGGGTTCACCTTTGACCAGGTTGAAAAAGAACTCCTTAGAGCTTGGAGATTGAATGATTTTAGGAAAATGAATCTTCAGGGTGTGCCAAAGTTAAGTTACTATCAAGAATTCAGTAATTAATTTTGTCTTTGTTCTTGAAATGCCTCAGATAAGTGTTAGCTGTATGACCCTGGCCAAGTCACTCCCTGTACTTCAGTTCCCTCACTTGGAAAATGAGGGGGCTGGACTCTAAGGTCCCTTCCAGCTCTGAATCTAAGATCTTATGAACCCTAAAAAATTGTAAACAAAAAGGCCTCTTGGTAAGCTGCTCATCATATGGGCTCTTAAAGCTCTTTTATTTGTTATTTCAGAGATTTTCAAAAGCGGGATGGATCTGTCCCTTTGAGTTTTTATTTCTCTAAGCAGAAAGGCTTGGGGTTTAATTGATAAATCTGTTTCTGGTAGCCTTGTGCCCAAATAGCAGGGTACTGAGTTTTTCTTCTACAATGATTCAATGTCAGCTTGGCAGGAAGTCTCCAGTGGAGTGCCCCAGGGATCTGTGCTTAGTATGAAGCTGTTTCATATTCTTTATCAGTGACTTGATAAAAGGAGAGATCCATGATCATCAAAAATTTATAGACTGTTAAATTTACATCAAATTTTAAACCCGATAAAGGCCCATTAACATACTAGATAATGGAATGAGGATGCAAACAGATTTTGGCAGATTTGGGCTGAACCTAATAAGATTAAATTCAGTGGAGATAAAAGTAAAAATCTTACACTTTGTGTGTGTGTGTGTGTGTGTGTGTGTGTGTGTGTGTGTAGGTTGGATTAGATGAGGTTCCTCCCAATTCTCAATCCTGTGACTCTGTGATCTCTGCTTCCTACAGCTGATCCTTCCTTGGCATGAGCTCTAGGCCCTTCACTATCCTTGCTGCCTTCTGGACACTCTGGCTTATTAATGTCCTTCCCAAAATGTAGCGCCCAGAATTGAACACGCTAATCAACGTGTCTGACCAGGGCAAATTGAATCCTTTGTCACTAATTCAACGATTATCAATCACTGCTTAACTACTAAAACTTGGCTCTCCACTCAACTCGGAGGAAAACCATTATATTCATTTATCTGCACGACTGCAGCGAGTGAAAAA